AGCATGTCTATTGAACATGTTTAATAAAACTAGTTACAACATGTAACTTACAAGTAAGTTGGATTTTAAATAAATAACGTACAGCAATTAATTGCATTTCAAAAGTAAAAGTCAAAAACCTTTTAGATTCTAAGATTATTAAAAATTTAGAAATAAAGTTTGTTTATGTAATTAGTTATGGCTAACATTATTTAAAACTATACAGCCAATAAAATTTAAATTTTTGTAATATTGATTTAAAAACTAAGCATTTATTTTAAATTTTTATAATTTATAATTTATATTTTGTTAGATCATTTTATACCCTGGATATCACATTAATGGTCTGAGTCAGCTAGGTACATAACTATTTATACACTTGACTAATCAGGATGGTGTTAGGGAGAGTAGGGCAAATACCTAACCCTAACCTATATAACTCGTTTGTTCGCCCGATTCCTTTGCGACCAGGGTCATTACCGGCACTAATAGTCATGGTAATATACTGGCTGTCAGTATTAGTTTGATAATCAAAAGAAAAGTGCAAAGTTATAGCTAATAAGGCAGTGATTATAATCGCAAGTAAAGCGGATTTTGTTGGTATATTTTAAGACTTTTAATTTTTATCAAGATACCTGGTTTGTTTTATTGTCTAATAGATAAATTAAATATTCATAATAATATTTTCAGGAACATAAATAAGGAGATATTTTAGAAAGAAATATAAGTAAATTAATTAAGTTTTTATAAGGGATTAGGTTAATAACATTTTTTATTTACAGGTTATAAAAATATAGATTATAAACTGTAAATTGTACTAATTTAAAATTATAAATTTATTAGTTATTATAAAAAAGGTAATTTTGCACTAAAGACGATTGCCAACTACGTTACAATTTGTAATTTATTTTTATAAGATATTTTACTCTGATCAAAAAATATTTTTAAATATTTATTGTGTTAATCTTAAAGCAGCCAGCATAATGATTTATTTGTTTTGTTTTGAGTTTTATTAACAGTGACAAATCTTTAAACATTGTAACATTAGTCAATATTAAGATTAATGCTAAAATATTTAAAAGTCTTGTCACTCATAATGTGATCTTGGTTATTTTAATAATTAAAGAATAATATTTTAAAAAATTACCATTATATGAATTGCAATATATTTCATTGTTATAATACTTAAACAAAATACTATATTGTATAAAACTTTTAATTTTATTGTACAACTGGGAATATTAAAATTTACAATTAATAATCATGGTAAATGACGTGTTTAATAACTAATAATACGACAAATAATTATTAATTTTAAATTTTTGATCTAAATAACATAGCTTTTAAATATAGTATATTTAAGACATAATTATAATTAATTCAAAATTATAAAAAATAATTTATAAACTATTATACAAATATTTATCTACTGTATATTAATTAAATTATTTATAAACACCTACAACACTAAAATTATTGTACTGTAATAAAATATATAATTTCTAATAATATTATCATTTTAAAATGTAATTGATAAGTTTGATGTCCTATTATTGTTATTGGTGACACCCCTGGTGGCGTAAGTATTAACATTATTATTTTTAGTCGTTGCTGACAATCTGTTTACGATCGAGTTATTACCTTGNAATAAAATATATAATTTCATTAAATTTAACTAGTAATATTTTTTCGTATTAATTTTGTCAAGGTAATAACTCGATCGTAAACAGATTGTCAGCAACGACTAAAAATAATAATGTTAATACTTACGCCACCAGGGGTGTCACCAATAACAATAATAGGACATCAAACTTATCAATTACATTTTAAAATGATAATATTATTAGAAATTATATATTTTATTACAGTACAATAATTTTAGTGTTGTAGGTGTTTATAAATAATTTAATTAATATACAGTAGATAAATATTTGTATAATAGTTTATAAATTATTTTTTATAATTTTGAATTAATTATAATTATGTCTTAAATATACTATATTTAAAAGCTATGTTATTTAGATCAAAAATTTAAAATTAATAATTATTTGTCGTATTATTAGTTATTAAACACGTCATTTACCATGATTATTAATTGTAAATTTTAATATTCCCAGTTGTACAATAAAATTAAAAGTTTTATACAATATAGTATTTTGTTTAAGTATTATAACAATGAAATATATTGCAATTCATATAATGGTAATTTTTTAAAATATTATTCTTTAATTATTAAAATAACCAAGATCACATTATGAGTGACAAGACTTTTAAATATTTTAGCATTAATCTTAATATTGACTAATGTTACAATGTTTAAAGATTTGTCACTGTTAATAAAACTCAAAACAAAACAAATAAATCATTATGCTGGCTGCTTTAAGATTAACACAATAAATATTTAAAAATATTTTTTGATCAGAGTAAAATATCTTATAAAAATAAATTACAAATTGTAACGTAGTTGGCAATCGTCTTTAGTGCAAAATTACCTTTTTTATAATAACTAATAAATTTATAATTTTAAATTAGTACAATTTACAGTTTATAATCTATATTTTTATAACCTGTAAATAAAAAATGTTATTAACCTAATCCCTTATAAAAACTTAATTAATTTACTTATATTTCTTTCTAAAATATCTCCTTATTTATGTTCCTGAAAATATTATTATGAATATTTAATTTATCTATTAGACAATAAAACAAACCAGGTATCTTGATAAAAATTAAAAGTCTTAAAATATACAAACAAAATCCGCTTTACTTGCGGTTATAATCACTGCCTTATTAGCTATAAATTTGCACTTTTCTTTTGATTATCAAACTAATACTGACAGCCAGTATATTACCATGACTATTAGTGCCGGTAATGACCCTGGTCGCATAGGAATCGGGCGAACAAACGAGTTATATAGGTTAGGGTTAGGTATTTGCCCTACTCTCCCTAACACCATCCTGATTAGTCAAGTGTATAAATAGTTATGTACCTAGCTGACTCGGACCATTAATGTGATATCCAGGGTATATAATGATCTAACAAAATATAGATTTATAAATTATAAAAATTTAAAATAAATGCTTAGTTTTTAAATCAATATTACAAAAATTTAAATTTTATTGGCTGTATAGTTTTCAATAATGTTAGCCATAACCAATTACATAAACAAACTTTATTAGATTTTCCAAAAACTGAAAATGAAAACTTTACGTTAATTAACGACATGCAATAAATAAATTTTAGGTTGAATGAACATTCAATGTACAACATTGATCAAAATAATTTGTACAAGTTATCTGTACGACACATCAAAAACACAATGTATTTTGTTTATAAACAAATAGTCTACCTATCAAACTATTTATATTGTTTTTAATCAGTATTAATTATATAACAAATAATTAATTGTCATAGTTAATAGTTGGCCATGGCTGATAAACCGACCGCATACCAGACACCCTGGTCAGATTATGTATGTAAAACTCTCGAGGTGGGAAAAGGAGTTGCAAAAGGTATTCATAGCTACCAGGCTATGGTGGGCTATCGGTACGCCATACAATTTAACACTTCCCGCTCATGTCTGGTGACCATACGGGACACCATAACCGGTACCTGGGTCATTAGGCTGGACAGGGCTCACGCTACCGGTGCCACTTATAATCACATTAATATTAATCCAAAACTTACCGGCTTATCTGACCCTCATATCTGTCTGCCACCTGGAATGCTAACTGTAAGTTTAGAAATTAATGTGACAAGCTGATTTAAATATATTTTTATTTTGTAATGTAGGCATGCCAGTTTGGCGCAAAATTGGCTCGTGGTTACTATGAGTACAGGGTCGATGACATGTTATTTGCAGTTAGCATAGGGTTTGACATGTACAGGGCTGGTACGGCTATTTATCAGGATTATGGCCATGGTACCACCAGAAACACGCTGATGACCGGGGCTAAAATTGCTGGTGGGTGGTCGGGTGCACCTGTAGGTAATTGTGATTAATGATATACCTATTTAACTAATACTGTAATATATTTATAATACTTTAATTTATTGCATGTAAACTAAATTCAAATATTTTAATTTATTTGTTCAACTGAAAAATTATTTTATAATTGGGGCTTGCAATAAGTTTAATATATTAATCCACAGTTAACATGATTAAATTTTTATTTTTAAAATTTATTTTGCATTGATTTTAGTATAGATGGATAAAATCAATATTATCTTAATATCCAATAGCTGTTTAGTAAATTATTAATCCTGTACCTATTATTAATATTTAATGTAGTAGCAAACATGTCATACAAACTATGTTAATAAACTATTAACTAATATATATTTTACACTTGCCCAGGTGCTTTGATTGGAGCTAAAATTGGATCCCTATTACCCGGATTAGGCACAATCATTGGTGGACTGGCTGGTGGTATAGCCGGTGGTGTCTACGGCCCTGAATATACCCAGGGTGCCGTTAGTGCTATTTGTGATAAACTCGGTCACGACATACAAACTAAGCCATGCACTTTATGTGATCAGTCATTTCAAGCCAAAGTCTATTCTGGTGAGGGGGCACTGGTATCATGTCCGGGTGGCTGTAAGGGTACACCTAATGTTACAGGCTCAAATCAGTACCTATGGGTGCTGCAAATTGCTAAAGCGTGGGAGATACTGGGTAATAAGTCTTACCCTAAATAGGATACATCGTGGTGTGTCACTCTGTGGCATGATTATAATTGTTGAGAAACAAGAATACACCATATTATCTATAATTTAAATTAATTAAATTTGGCCAACTCCATAAACTGATCTAGTTAATTCAATTTTAAACATAGGTGACATAGTCATTTTTGTATATAAATTAACATTACTATGGATTTATATATTTTTATGAATTTATATTCATGTATTTATAACTAATTGGTGGCATACTGCTTAAAACCTTATGATTTTCGGCAGTGGAGAATGTTTTGAATTGTAATTTAAAGATATAAGCCAGTCAAAGCCAGACTATGTTTCCTAACCTCTAAAGTAAAAGTCCAAATACCAATACATTTCAATGAACTACACCGGTGTATAACTAAACTTTCATTATAGATTTTATATTAAACTTTACTACCTATAGTTCATTGTAATGTATTAGCATTTGGACTTGACATGCCACCTATGTTTAAAACTGGATTAACTAGATCAGTTTATGGAGTTGGCCATATTTAATTAATTTAAATTGTAGATAATATGGTGACTCTTGTTTCTCAACAATGATAATCACGCCACAGAGTGACACACCACGATGTATCCCATTAAGTTTAAATTGCAATGATTAATTTTAAAATTGAGAGAGGTATATAATATACAGTATTTTTAATTAATAATATAATTAATATAAGTAAAAATTGAATTACTGTAATAGTGTATAACAAGGTTTAATGAATATTAATGTTAATTTATAAACGCATATACACAAATGGATTGCCACCAAATGGATCTCATTGTTGGAACAAACGTTTCGCAAACCATGCGATCCATACAATCAACAATCACGTCATTACATTCAATGAGACACACTATAATTTGTTCAAGCAACTTTTGTTCTACAGTAATTCGAGATATGCATCAATATATGAGACACCATAAGCTGAAACGCTCGTTGTATCTGTGAAAGCAAACTGTAAACTTAAGTATTTCACATAATAATGTATAGCAATCAAGTTGTGTATATTATAATATGAAGAGAAATACTTCAGCTTACAGTTTACTTTCACAGACACAACGAGCGTTACAGAATTGAACTTTTCATATTTGATTGTCTCCGTGCATAAAGCGGTTATTTATTTTTCAATCCAAACTGTATACATAACATAATCATTGCATTTCTCAAAATAATAAACAATATTAGATACTATGAATGCAATGATTATGTTATGTATACAGTTTGGATTGAAAAATAAATAACCGTTTTATGCACGGCGACGATCATTTAATAGCCACTTATCTCAATAGTAAAACACTATGTATACCAGTAAATCAATGCATTTAAATATGTTTGTATAAAATTAGTAATAATTTAATATTTAATAATAATTAAATATATAACTAGCTCTCTCTCTCTCTCTCTCT